AAAAACCTATTGTAGAATTCGTCTATTCATCCGACGAATCGAAGGTTCGTCGTGTCGAAAGGCCCACCTACTCACCGTCTGATCAGAAATCCGTACTTTCTACTACTGTTGTGGACATAGAACCTCCAGGATTTCGAACAGTTCAACCTCACTACGTAGAGGAGAGATATCAAGTAAGATAGTGTGTATATCAATTTTTTGTTCAATTTGTTCAAGGAAGATGATTTAGCTAGAAGAACAGTACCGTTCCGTAAAGTCCTACACAGGCCCGAAAAAAGAAGGCTACGTTAAGCCTAGGGAAGTAGTCATCCCAACGGTTGAAAAGAGAGAAACAAAAGAATCCGCTAAGGTACGATCTCAATAATTTTTCTCTGAAAGCAATACTCGTTTTCACTTTCGCGTACAGAAGAAATATGTTCAAAATTAGATCAGTAACCTTCAAACCGCTAATTCTTTTGAACAAACAATTGAGATTGTTCAAGGAGACAGTCACTGGCCACACGGTATTTTCTTCGCGTACGGAGCAACGTTCTTCGCCAACAGATCAGCAACGCGAGCCTGAAATTGAAGAAATTCGTGGGGCAACTCCTGTTAGAAGTGTTGTGGAACAATTTGAAAGCCGCATAGAAGGTATAGATCTGCAATTTTCTCTGGTAAAACTACGAATGAGGAGTTGTTCTTTAAGAAGAACGCAAGACGCCTGAGAGACGTCCCTATCAGTACAAGGAAAAAATCGAAGAGATTACTACTCATGAGAAGAGACCATCTCTACCGGAAAGGGTAAGTTAAAACTGGATCTATTGCTTAGCCATGCACAGCTTAGACGTCCCCTTCCAGGAAGTGTTCATTCCACGGAGTGACTTACTTCCATCACGGAAGACGTACACGGAATCAATCACTACATCAAGGAAATTGTCTGGATCGGATCGAGAACAGCCGTATAGAGGAAGGAGAGAAATAACAAGGGAAGAGGTCACCAGAGTTCCTCCGTACAATGGCTTGCGCGAAACTCTCACCGAAGAGGTGAGCAGAGGCCATCCGTACACTGAAACAAGGGAAGTCCGTCGTGAGGAAGTAGAGAGAAGCCTAACTGACTCAGAAGAGTATAGACGTCGTACCCCACCCGAGAGGGAGAGGGTAGTTCCTGTGGAGAAAATGGAGAATGTACAGAAGGAGGACGTGACAATGGAGACGATGACAACGGAGAGCGTAAGAACGTTCCCTCGTGTCGTTGTGCCAAAACAGCGTTCGCCAACTCCTCCAAGAGCTGTTAAGAGTACGCTAGAGATTGCTAAGGAAGAATACAAGGAAGAAAAAAAGCAACCAGAGAAGCCTCCAAGGGATTTCCGAGAAACGCTAACTGAAAGGAGTGAAAGAACTGAGAGAACTGAGACAATGGAGACAACCGAAACCTACAAGAGGACCGGCAAAGTGGAAGATACCACGAGAACACCAGCTTCAACGCCCGTTCCTCCTCTACGTCCTGTAACAGTGAGTAGATACTTTTGGTTAGAAGTCTCACCTTCACTCAAGAATCTTATTTAGCATTGACAATATGTTCAACTGTCTTTACATACAACTGTCACTACATACAATTCTCTAGAGCAAGATCTGTCTTGCTACAGTTTCTCTAAATGCGTAAATTGAATGTCATTTTGCTTTTTTGGAACCATGCAGAGAAACTCTCTTTGGATGCTCGGATATGAATGCAATGTAACTAGGCAAAATTGAGGTAGAACAAACAAATCTATGAGCTTTTTCTCCAAAAGCCGCAATGAACAGTGAACAAACGTAGACTGTGTATTCGCTTCCACACCTGCCACTGACTGATTCGCAGGTTGAAGCATACTTCCTTTCAAACCTGCTACGCTCTTTTTCGCCTCTGTTTTATAACTGATGAGGTTATGCTCCTCTTATATCTATCGTAATCCCCTTCCTATTTACATTCCTTTATTATAAAAAACTCATTCATTTGCAGAAAGTTAGTTTTCTATTCAATCTAAAGGCTAAATAGTTGCAATGGTCCCGACTACAATTCTGCGGTAGGCACAAAAATGTGCAAGTGTAATCGGATTAAACACTTTTTTTAATGGATTGCATATTAATTCTCACAGCACACATTTATATATGTGTGCTTAGGCAAGGATGTTATGTCAAGTCAACATTCAACATCCAAACTCCAATTATAATGTAATTACTATTATGTATAATGTATAATTATAATGTTAATATATGACTGATGTCCTGTCACTTTGAAGGCGCTCCCATACGCTAGAGTTTCTAAGTGCCTGATCAGCGCTAGAAATTTCTGATAATGTCTCATTTCGCATTATCGCTTCTTTTCTAACAAGGCTTTCTATCCGATAACACTTCTGCGGTGACAATACCGCACTATAAAACGTAAAGCTGCTGATAAAATTTCGCAAATTTCGCTAGTCCTCGAAAGTTTTTTCCCCGCACATTTGGCGTTATGTTCTCAAATAATTATGTCTTTGTCGATATCATAGTGGCCTCTAAATGTGAGCTAATAGAATGTTATTTAGGATATGCCATCCCTGTACACGGAAGAGCACCATCACTATTCGAAGTATGTTTTGCTGAAGATGATAACTTTTTTTTATGATGTGCCGAAATTGAAGATATATGTT